ACTAATAGTGGAAGATGCATAAAGTGTTCATTTAATGAAAAGTAAATTCCTGATCAGTAGTTTCTGTTCATCCTGGCTTTCTTTTTTGCATAGTAAGCAACTGTTTTGCTTTTCAGCCTTTCCATGGGTTTATACTGATCTACACCATCTACAGTTCAAGATGCAAATTTCAACCGGATCAGTTGCTCTTGATGTGCTCAGTGATTGCACATGGGCAGTCTCACAAAGAAATAAAATTGGATCGCATGGTTTCTTAATGTTACATTTCCAGAACCCATGCGTGTTTGCACTTTTGAGGCAGGACTTCAAAGTCATCTGGCCTCTTGCAAAATGTGAAACCTACTTGTCAAATATAACTGTTAATGAGAAGTTGACTGTAAAGGAGAACTTGAGCTCCCAACAGGTGTTAGGCTTAGTGGAAGGCTGCAGGGCTTCAATACGTACTGGAGTTTGCAGCCCCTTTTTCTGGAGTGAAGTGCAGTGCTTGATAGTTAGTTCAAACAGGGAATTTTTTATATCTCTCTAGTTCTTGACTGAGAATGGAAGGCAGCTTCTAGAATCACCTTATCCTTTTCTTATCATTTATGAGGTTGTCTCTTCTTCAGGGGTAAACTACATGTGATTTTTGTTGTGTGAATGAAAATTTATCAAAATAAGAAAAAAAAGTTACAGTGATTTTAAGAAAGCTAATTTGCATTTAGTCATTGGCATTCCACTCTGTTCACAACTAAGTGACTAACTTTTGTTTGAAAAGCAGTAATACATGTTCTTTGGACTGCTTATCTGTGTTGGAGCTTTGTGTCTTTACATCTAGAGTTATCTCGTTAAGCTCTGCAGTTAGACTAGTTTGCTTGTTGAAAGCAGAATGTGAGCTTGGTCTTGCTAGGCTTTCTTTTTAGCTTTCTTCATTTAGTAAATAAGCTAGCAAATATTGTCTGGTTTTATTTCATCTTAGTCAGACTTGTTATTCAACCCCATTTTAGTCTTGTGTGTGAATTCTAATTAGAGGCTATCCTATCAAGTGTACCTTTTCTCAGCAGATACTACATTTCAATACAGAAAGCTGATGTTCTGCTGGGTGCACTGTAATTTCAGAACAGTATTGAATCTGCATTTTTAGCACAGTGGCACTTTGTTGACAAGGAATTGTACTCTGAACACAGGGAACTATTCTTGTTTCTGCTTGCTGGAAGAATTGCTGGCGATGGGTATTTTTTAAAGATTTCCTTTGCATGGTTGGCTTTTATGTCAATAAGGAGAGTATGAAGTTGTTAAACAGCTAGAAATAGAAAGAACTCAAATTGTATCAAGCTATGTCTTGTGGCATTCTGTAATCCAATTATACTGAAACTGCCCTCCGAATAACAAGGTAGCGTGGTCCAGAGTCCTGGTGGAGCTGTTTGGCATTAGTAAATCATTTATAAAGTTTTAGGTGAAAGAAAAGTGCCTGAACGCCACAGAACTTGCTACTTACTGTAAAGAGAACTTCCTGTTTTCAAATTGAAGGACAATGAATTTATCCAGGTAAGGTCCTATTACAGAAACTTAGCATAACTTCTATAGAAAGCTGTGAAAGCTGGAAGTGACTAGTTAGAACCTTGTTTTCATAACTGTGTTTGTTCTCTGCTTGTTTTTCCTCTGCAGTTATGTTGAATGTGATCTTTAGGCACTGTCTCAGATTAAGAGGAGGAGTTCCACGCCATAAATTTTCATTATGGATCAGTATAGGCCAGGTTTTTAAACATGAAAAATGATTTTTTTAAAAATTTTTTTTCCTTGAAACAAGATTTTCTGCAAGGCATTACTACTTAACCCTTTTCCAAACATAATACTGCTGAAGAGACTGTACTTGTTGTCTTGATTAACTAAATTACTTTTTTTTTCACCCTAATTTCCATAAACACCAGTAGGTGAAAGCCAGCAACAGGTGAAGCTAGTATAAATATCTCTATCGTAGCAGAGAGCTTAAAAATTGTAGGTATGCCAAGACTTGTGTACAGTCTCAGGTACAATATAACTTGGGTTATGATTTATTAAATAAGACCTAACCTGACCTTGCTGAAATGTGGGGAGGGGGGTGTGTGTGTGTGTTGGCTTTTATGGAGGTGCTTTGAGAAATTGTTCAGCCAGATCACTTACGGGCATTGGAATTCTTGGAAGTTCAAAAACAAATTAAGCTCTTGATAGAGCAAAACAAAACACTTTTTTGAATTAGTCTGAACTCTTGCCTGTACCTAACATGTGGTCTAAAAAATTTCCCCCGTTTATGTGGCTTGATATTAGTTTAGGGTAAACAAAGCAAGACTTTTGGCCCAGAATCCCCAGCTCAATGCAAAACTGATGGCCATAGCAACCAGCTAACAGAAAGTCTCTTCAGCAGCTTGGCCAGCACTTGGCACATCTTTATGTATATTTTGCTTTCTGATAACCCCAGAAGTTCATGAGTCTGAACTTCTCACTTTTTTACACACTCATAAGCTATACTAACCACTTTTGTTGCCTGGTCCTCATTCTTGAGGTCTGAGATGTTTAGCATACATTTACAAAACGCCATGTTGTTTTGTGAACAATTGTCAGCAAATGTCAGGTGTTTTAAAATTGCTCCTGGTTTTAATTACTCTGTATTCACACTGCCAATTAAAAAAAAAAAAGGTAAAAAAATCAGCTAGACTTTACAGGAAGTTTAACTTTTTGTTTTCTTTAAAATTACTGTACTTTACTGAATACTTTAGATTTTCTCTTTGTCAGTCTGATGTACAATCTGTCCAGGTTTTTTGTTGCTAGTAAAATTGAAGTCCTTTTGCTGGCACTTATGCCTCAAAACAGCTTGCACATCTTCCCTGTAGGGCTATTCATCTCCAGTTGATGGTTGTGTAAAAGAGCTGGGCTTGCAACGCTTCTGTACTTCCTTTAATTTGCTATCTTTGTGAATTAAGATTTAGATGGTGAGACTACAAAACATTGTATCAAAACCTTACTGCTCTTAGTATTGTTGGTTTGTGATGTGATATTTTTATCTGTTTCTTAAAATGTTACTTGATCTCAAGATGAAACAGTAACATTGACCAGTTCTTTTCAAATTTTGTACAAATGGATGTTGGAAAAATTGTTCCACTGAATCTTTTGGTGCATTCTTTTTAAAGAGGCTGGAAAAGTTGACTTCTAAACAAAAAAAGTTAATAGTGTGGTTCTGTGATTAGAAGAACTTGAATTTGATTTTTTTGTGCTTTCTTTGTAGACTCTTGGAAACAGATAGCAAATCCTTGCGATCAGTAAATGGGTCAAGAAGAAATAGTGGATCTTCTCTTGTGTCTAGTTCATCAGCTTCTAGCAATCTCAGCCATCTTGAAGAAGACTCATGGATACTGTGGGGGAGGATTGTGAATGAATGGGAAGATGTACGGAAAAAGAAAGAAAAGCAAGTTAAGGTAGTAGCGGGACACTATTTTTTAGGATATATTTGTGATGTGCTGTAAGTGATACTACTTATCTTCCTGTTGGTCTTATTTTTAAAAATAAACATGCAGTAGATGGTTCCAGTTGAACCTATTCCATCCCTAAGCCTTAGTGCTTCCTGTTTAACTGTTACCAGACTTTGGTAATAGCAGTTCCTGTCAAATGTCTCTTATTGAAAACTAGATGCATTAACAATATCTTGAATACTAAAGCTTATGGTCTACCACTGATGAAAGATTTCCATGAATATAAGGAAGATTTGTTTCATGGTTCCAAAATAGAATTACTAAAAACTCACTTAAGGACATCTGATAGCTGGATGCCATGATTATTTTCCGACTGAGCAGCCATCTTTTTAAAGCATTCTTATTAGAAGAGCTGATAATTTTCTTGTATGAGCCTCTGAGTTCAGTTTTTTGTGCATGCTAAGTGTGATCCTAGGAACCAGAACATAGTTTCTAAATTCTGAGTGGATCAGACAAACTTTGACCAGTGCCCCTCCCCCCCGTCTGGCTTAGTTGTGGGCGTGTACAGAAGTGAAGTTGAACTACAGTTTAAATTCAAACTAAAAAGCACGTAGGGCATTTGAACATAACTCTGTTTCCGAAGCAGCAAATAGAGCAGTGTGGCATTTTTTTTATTCGTAGGCAAGTCTGTGCTGCTTTGGTTCTTTATTGGCTCTAGTCTGTAGCTTTATGTGCAGAATACAGATTTCAGGGTCTTTATAGCACTCTGAAATGTGTGTGTATGAATAGCTTGTGGGAAGGCAGAACAATGGGCTAAAGTAAAGTATCTTTTATGTGAAGCAGTTGTGAAGAGAGAACATTACTTGAGAGAGGAAACAAGGCAAAAAAATTAATTCAGGATTTCCTGCTTGCATAGGGAAAACAGTTTCTGGAAAGGTGTTCCCAAGAGGCCATGAAAAGAGGGCCATATGAACCTGGCAAGAGAAAGGAGAATTGAGATGGTAATAAGTAGCTTTAGTAGGTTAGCATTAATTTGAACTGCCTGCATTTGAACATTTTAAAGTGCCACAAGAATCACATGTGACAGCTGGCCAAGTATAATTTGGGGAGTATCTGACCAACTTTCCATAAATATTTAATTGTATTGAGAATCATAGAATTGTCAGGGTTGGAAGGGACCTGAAAGATCATCTAGTTCCAACCCCTCTGCCGTAGGCAGGGACATCTCCCACTAGATAGGTTGTTCAGAGCTCCATCCAGCCTGGCCTTAAAAACATCCAGGGGTGGGGCTTCCACCACCTCCCTGGGCAACCTGTTCCAGGGTCTCACCACCCTCATGGTGAAGATCTTCTTCCTAACATCTAATCTGTATCTACCCACTTCTAGTTTTGCCCCATTCCCCCTAGTCCTGTCACTACCCAACATGCTAAAAAGTCCCTCCCCAGCTTTCTTGTAGGCCCCCTAAAGATACTGGAAGGCCACAATAAGGTCCCCTCGGAGCCTTCTCTTCTCCAGACTGAACAGACCCAACTCTCAGCCTGTCTTCATAGGGGAGGTGCTCCAGCCAAGGAGGAAGTTTTTCCTTTGCTGGTTAGTTAAATAATGCTTAATATTTTTTTCATTTGTTTTTGTTTTGTTTGTGGAAAGTCAGCTTAAGCTGTGTCATTCTGCATTTACGATGGAGTACCAGAACATCCATACCTATTTCCTGATTGTGCCAGGAGGTATGATGTTAGCAGTATAGGTATATTTTTGTCTTGGCTGTAAAAGCTGATCTTAATTCATTAGGTATCTGGTAAGCTTTCTAAGTTTTAGACATAGGTGTATATACCTTCCTGCATAGGTGATGTGTTCAGTCCTTCTGTCTCTTGATACACTTCAGAACTTGCTTCCTGTTAATGGAAGGATTCTGAAGGATAGCTTAAGTGCTGCTTTTCAGTGTGCACAATACTGTGTAAAACAACATCATTTTAGTACTGCTTAGTAGGTGCCTTTTCCTGCTGTTCCTTTAGGAACATTGGAAGGATTAACCCTGTTACTTTTTCAATCACATGGGTGGAAGCAAGAAATGACTTGGTAATGCTTCTTATTAGTAGCCTTTGAGGCTTTAGATGACTGATCTACAATCTGATAGTGCCTTGCTGACAAATGATAGCTAGAAACAGATGTGGAAGGCTGATATGTTAGAGTTGTTGTCTTGGATTTAGAAATATTTTAGGAAGTAACACAGGGTGTTGTAGTTGTCGCAAATGGGACAAATAGCTGGAGTGTCATTACCAGGATGATGCTGAAGAAGGCTGGAGATCTTAGAGATATTGGGAGACTGAGGTCAGTGATGCAAAACTCCTGCAGTAGAGTTCAAGCTTGACAAAAACAAAACTTGAAAGCAAGAGTCTTTAAAAGTTACCACTGTTGCATTAGCTATCTTGATGATTGGAGAAGTAATTGGAACAAACAGAAAAAAAGAGGAAGGTTTGCAGAATAGATTACTCTGGCTTGAGAATAAATACTAGTGAAAGAAATTATCCTTGAGGAGACAGAATACTTGATAACAGTTCCTAAAGTGCAATAAATTATGCAAGGAACCCTCTTGTCTTGAAGAGACAATCTTCTAGGTCAGTTGCAGAAAGTACCATTAAGACAGTCTAAGTTTCCATAATCATACTTTTTTTCAAATAAGCAACAAGACTACTTTGTGCTTTCAGAAAAGACAAGTATCAGGTTCTTAGATCTATTGATCTGGGAACATTTGAATTTTATAATACCTAACTGGTTGTTTTGTTGTTGTGTTGTTGTTAAGGGAAGATAAAGTAAATTTAGTTAATTCAGTTGACATCCAGTGTCTGAAGCTACATTTAAATACTTTCTTAAAAGAGAACCTGGAAATACTGGCACACCAGAGAAATTAGATGCAACTTGTCAAGTTAGTCAAATGACTTCTGATAGTAGTACTGTACAATTTGATTTGTTTTGTTGCAGTTGGCTGTGCTACAGTTCCACTTTTTAAATGTCTTGGAAGTAATTTTTAATTGGTAATTTCTTATATCTCAATCACCCAAATATAGTTAAGGGTGTTACCTTCAGCTGTCTTTTGTGAAATAGAAAAATAACTGTATTAAGTTCTGGCTAATGGGAGTTCTTGTTTAAAATTACTTGAATATCCAGTTTTGCAAGTAGCTTACTGTGAATAGGGGACTACTTTCATTAGCTAATTTAACCAGTAAAAATGGTTTCTAGTCTCCTTACTTTTGTTAGCTAACAATCTATCACACTAAAATTGAGACTTGAACCTCAGTATAAACTGTATGATTGGTTTGTGACATGATGTATACATTTTCTGAAGCTGTGAGGAACTTAGATTGTTGAAGTGTTGTGTTCTTTAGGCTTATGTTTATATTTTCAGGAAATACTAAATGAATTTGTTTCCTTTTTTGTGCTTTAGGAGCTTGTTCGCAAAGGGATACCTCATCATTTCAGAGCAATTGTTTGGCAGCTGCTATGCAGTGCTCAAAGCATGCCAATTAAGGATCAGTATTCAGAGCTTTTGAAAATGACATCTCCTTGTGAGAAGTTAATAAGAAGGGACATTGCTAGAACATACCCTGAACATGACTTTTTTAAAGAAAAAGACAGCCTTGGACAGGAGGTCTTGTTCAATGTGATGAAGGTAAGTCAGCCCTTGACTTGTATGTAGTGAATTTGCATCAGTTTCATGTGTTTAGATTTTTTAATCTTACACTACCTGACTCTGAAATAGTCTAACAAATTGAAAGCTGTCTTTGAAACTAGAATGTGAATGTGGTATTACTTTACATTTTAAAAACTTACTAAGTTTACATGAAAACGTAGTGGCGTGCTGACTGCTGATAGTATAATGGAATAAAGTGTGCCATGAAGTAAAGTAAATTATGCTGACCAAGACAAGATTTTGTAAATCAGCATTCAGTTTTCAAGTGTCTTGCAACCTGCAAGCAGTAGTGGCAGATGGCAGGTACAAGCAAATGTGTAGTTGTTACAGTACCCGAGCACAAAATGAGAATGCCACCATAAAATTGCTTGTGTTACTTTGTCTTCATTGTACTAGAGCTCAAAATTTTGAAAGACTGATTTCTCCATACAACATAGTTGCCACACAAGTTGGCAGGTTTCCAAGTTGTAGCAACTTCCATAGCTCTAAAGTGAAGCTGAAACCTGTGTGGAGATCACCACATCTCCACCTGTAAATAAAACTGTGGCACGTAATTTTTCTGAAAAGAACTGTTGTTTCTTTGTCTAGTTTGTCTCCTATGAAAGCATTAACCTTGTGCAGTTTGTACAGTGACTTTATCTTTTGGCAAATTCCTGTAGCTGGAAACCACCTTCTTTTTTTTTTTTTTTTTGTAATAAAGTATGCCTTAGTTTTAGCTATGTAGGTTGTCAGAGGGCAGAGCTCATACCCCTTTATAGCAGCCAGTAGCAACTAGAATATCTGACAAAAACTTCTGAAGAGAGTATCTGTCCTTGCAGGATTTAGGAGAGGAAGAAAAAGTCTGTAGCAAAATAACAGTGTGAGCTATGATTACTTTTTATCAATAATGAGGTTTTAATTGTTGAGAATCTTAAACTTTATTTGGCAGGCTTATTCTTTGGTGGATCGTGAGGTTGGATACTGCCAAGGAAGTGCTTTTATAGTGGGATTACTGCTTATGCAGGTAAACATGATACTAAAAATATTTCAACCTTTAAAATCTCTGCTAGAATGCATTATATATCATGGTGGTTTATTGGGAATTCTTATAGTAGTTTTGCTTGGTTTTGTTACAATGGAATTGTCAAGGGCAGCTGTTTAGTCTGCAAATCAAATGAGACGTATTCACTGTGGTTCTGTTTGCAAGACATTTCTCAGAGCTGAAGCAGAACTGCAAAGTTATGAGTTATTTTGGTGAATGTTATTTCAACTTAATGAACTTCTTATTTCAATTCACGACACAATCTCCTCAGAGTTCAGCTAGAACTTAACAGTTGATCTGATAATCTTAAAGCTGCCTTTGTATTACTGCATTTTGTTTTATGACAAAGTAGGGTATATTCTAGGAAACTTGCAGACCTCTGTTTCGGTTTAGAAATTACTCGATAAAATTCAATGTATACAAAAGCTCATTAGAGTAATTGGTTATAAAACTCTTAAAAAAACCAAGCGAGAAAAAAACGAACCAACAACCAGCAACTCCACATCACCCCTCCACCCCAACCAACCAGCCAAAAAACACCCAAACCCCACCACCACAGTTACACGCACAAAACCCCCAGAACTAAACCCTCTCAGGTGTTTACTCTGATATGTCCTTACATCTGTCCAGAGTTTTTACTGTGCTTCTTTATTTTTAATATAGATGCCAGAAGAAGAGGCTTTCTGTGTGTTTGTTAAATTAATGCAAGATTACAGACTACGAGAACTCTTTAAACCAAGCATGGCTGAACTGGGCCTTTGTATGTACCAGTTTGAATGCATGATACAGGTACATACAAATTCTATCAAACGTCATCAGTAGCTATTAATAAGGAGCTTGAGAATTACAGTGTTTTGTTATCCCGTTCCTAACATAATGACCAGGGGTGGGATGTTGCATAGCAAATAAGACATAGGTCTCTGGCCACTCCTAGGGTCTTTCCAGCTCTTTTTTGTAGCCTGCTCTCTAGACGTGACTGGAGGATTTACGAGCTTCCTGTTCGGATCAGGAATTGTTTTTGTAATCTGTCCTTTGCAGGGTAGGAGTGCTATAGGGCATCCATACTGGGACTGCTGTTGCATGGTTCCTGGTAATGAGTAATATCTTTCTCAGTCCTGTTAGAAAGCTACGATCTGTATTAAGTATAAATTATTTTATTCTTTTATTGAAAAGTTGTCAAAAATAGGGATACACTAAAACTACCAGTAGGAGCTTAACATTTGTTTTCCTTTTCCAGGAGCATCTTCCGGAGCTTTATGTGCACTTTCAGTCTCAGAGTTTCCACACTTCTATGTATGCATCATCATGGTTTTTAACTATATTCCTTACAACTTTTCCACTACCAATTGCAACAAGAATATTTGATATATTTATGTCTGAGGTAACTTCTTAATACTCATATATTCTATTTCAAGAGTAACTGTTAGAAGCAGTTGTTTAGGCAGCGGTATAAATCCCATTATGATGGGCAAATCTCAGATAGTCTTGCTTTTTAACCCTTATGCTTGTCAGATTATTTTTTAGAGGGAAATGTGTGTATTTCTGTAAGTTTATTAAGAGAGGAGGAGCAACTAAATCTTTGTATGTTGATATTATACACAACTTCGTACTCTAAGCTGGGTGAAGGTTTACCAAACCTGCCAGTCCTGGATGCAATGCAGTAGCACTGCACACAACAGGGGCATCAGTTTCTCTATAGTAAGTTTCAGGTGGAAATTAATGCTGCCTTCAGGCCAAAGATATAGCTCCATGGGAGTATGTATGCCAAGAAGAGGGAGTGTTGGCATCTTTTATTGTCCAGATGATGAACAGTAGCCAAAGGAATTTATGAGTTATTCAGTGACACTATCTCAAAGGCACTGAAACTGTGTTTAGGATTAGAGCTTTGTGTAGTAACTGGTAGCAAACCAAAGCTTATGTTCCATTTATGCTCTTTTTTGGCAATCATCTTTTAGAAAACGATAACTCAAAGGTGGAAAACAAAAGAATGTTTAAGTGTATATGAGTGAGACATTCCCTTCTATCTTTTTAAATAGTTTTAACTGCATTGGACCATGTCTGAAATTTTAAATTGTTTTTTTGAGACGTACCTTGGGGTCTTGTACCAGACATATCTAACATGCTTGATAATGCTGATGTAGAGAACATGTGTCACTCAAGAGTATTTACCTCAGCACTGGCCTCTCTCAGGGAGGGGTCTGGCATCAGGACAAATAGCTGGACTGTTTGTCCTGTGGACAAAATAAGAAAGCCAGAACAAATTGGTTGATTTTTTTTTTTTTTTTTTTTTTCCTTCCCCTGACAGCCCTTTTGCTTGTTTGAGAAGCTGGGTGAGGTTGCCAGCATCAGTAAATAGCAGAATTTTTCTGTTCTGTTGACAATGCTGTGAATAATTATCGGATATCTCTTAAATTCTGTTTTCAGGGTTTAGAGATAGTATTTCGAGTAGGTTTAGCGGTACTTCAGATGAACCAAGCAGAACTGCTGCAACTTGACATGGAAGGAATGTTACAGGTAAACGAAGGCTATTCTAATTGTGAGCAATGTCTGAAGCGTGTAATGTACATGTGTGTATTTCCTTGCAGCTATTAATTATATGTAATCTTGTGCTCTGATTGCTTTTAGCACTTTCAAAAGGTCATTCCACATCAGTTTGACAGTGGTCCAGACAAATTAATCCAAGCATCTTACCAAGTCAAATACAATGCAAAAAAGATGAAAAAGTAGGTATAACATTTTGAGAAAATAGATTATACTGTTTCTGTTTAAATGAGTTATTCAGTATTTAATTTTTAATTTTTCATCTTTGTATTTTGTTTTATACTATAAACAGTTTAAATTGAAGTTCTGCCTGTAAGCAAATTCTAAAGCATAATTTGCTATTTTTCTTAAATGTCATAAAGCTGTATCTCATTCACAAAGGTCTAAAAACTTTTGAAGAAAGCAGCAAGTTATGGGGAATTAACAGCACTTCTGTAAAAAAGATATGAATAGAGAAAGAAAGGGAGGGGTGTGGGGTTGTGTGGGGTGGTTTTTTTTTTTTTTGAGGGTGAAGCAGGGAAAGGAGGTTAGACGTTATGGTTTGGCCTAAATTCTTAAGACTTTACTTTGCAGGAACTGGAAGAGTATTCACAGTGCTAAAGAGTGCATGTATGGTCAAGATTAGTGCTGTTTAAAATATAAACTGATGAAACTTCATAATACCATTGATAATGTTAAAATAACATTTGTCTAGGGTTTGAAATCCTGAGTGTAATGCTACTTTTTTTTTTTTTTTTTTTTTTTAAGAGTAGTTGCATGTTTTCTCTTTTCTGCCATTGGCAAATTTGTCTTGATAAGCCAAGCTGCACATGCTGTGCTTTCCTAGTGCTAAGTTTGGTGGTTCTCCAGTTGGTTGTAAAGTGTATATTCACTGTTCTTGTGCTGCAGACTATGCTAACTTAAATCTTTACAGGAGTGTATTTCAAGTGGCCACTTAGAGAGGAAATACCAATAATCTGTAACTCTGTTCTGCTGTTGTTAGGTATAACACCAACAAGTAAGTTATCTGCAGTTTTTCTAATCAGAAATCACTATTTCTAATTTTTAGGTTAGAAAAGGAATACACTACAATAAAGACAAAAGAAATGGAAGAACAAGTTGAAATTAAAGTAAGAAAGCTTCAATAAACTTATTTATGGGTCAGTTCAATTCCTAGATGTGGAGTTACATATTCTGTATATATATCAGGATTTGTAATTGAGGTCTCCCTTTTTTTTTTTTTTTTTTTTTTTTTTTTTTTGTGTGTGTTTGGGATGTCTGATCATAAAGGACATTTGTAGTGAAATTACTGAGACTTGTGGTGGACATTTAAAAAAATGAATCTTTGATTGAGACCTACTATACTTGGCTTTCATTATTTTCTACTGACTAAAGCTTGACAGATGGTCTCATTTATCAGAGGCCATTCCAAATATGCTGGTTTAGATGTAGATGTCCCACACAGGAGGGTTCTAAGATGCATTTTAAGATAGTTTATCAGAATGCACATGAGTGTTTTATCATTGACTTTGAGATCTTGATTTTTCTCTTGTGCATTGGACCCAAAATTGAGCGTCTTCTGTTTGTGGTTGCTTTCTTTTGAGTCCTCTGCAATTGATAAATAATGTGTAAAAAAACACCCTATGAGTGCATTGTATATACTTAATCACTGCTTTTTGCTTTTGTGACACAAATAGGCTTTTGCTGCCTTTTTTTTCCCCTCTTTTTTTGCCTTTTTTTTTTTTTTTAACCCCAGTATGGTGTTTGGCTTGGATTTTCTTCATTGTGTCATGGTTTTAGCCAGTTTCATGAGAAAAGTAAGTGGAAGAACTGAATGGCAAGTGTGGTAGGTAGAGCTTAGTGTAGAGGAAGTGAGGTACAGCCTTCCTTCTTCTGCCCACTGCTAGTTATTTTGCCTTTCAGTGTCAGCTTCTAAGGCATTGAGTCTTCAGAAAAATTCAGTGATACGCACCTGGGAGCATAAAAGTGTTTCAGGCTTTTTCAGGCAGTTTGTTGTGGTTGTATAACAGGTGGTGGGGCAGTTAACAGCATTAGGACTTGCTGGAATGGGATCTGAAATCAGATGACTCGCAGGACTCAAATGACAGCTTTGTGCAGGACTGGATAAAATCATCTGAAGGGCAACTGTAACTTTAGATTTTCGTATTTTAACTTGTTTCAAATCATTCTCTGCTCCTAACCAACCAAACTGATCAACCCAAAGTTGTGTTTCTAGCTTTCTGTTTCCCTGCTTTGGGACTTTATATAAACCATTTTTTATTTACTCTCTTCTAAGAAGCTCTCCTATTTTAGGAAGATGGAAAAAAAAGCAGATTGAGTCTGCCTCTTAGCCTGGTGGAATAAAGCATTACTGAACTGATATCTGTGGCTCTGTTCTTAGGGATACAGATCTCTTCTGTCTGAATGCTGACTGCTAAAATTCACAGGAGATGCACTGGTAAAATATGCAATACAGTACAATTCTTTCTCACTTCGGGGCCATCTAAGGTTAATAGTGCTCAGTATAACCTTACAGATGAAATATTATTATATAATTTATCAGAAATTATTTGAAAGAAAACAAAGGAAACCATGTAACTATCTCATTAGGCTGCCCTAGTGCAGGGAGTGCACCTTCGTGGCCCTTAACCAGGAAGACTGGCTGGCTCTGATTCTGAAGAGGAGGCCGCCAAGTCTAATGTGTGGTTAAACCCTGTGGTTCACCTGCAGATGCTGCTTTCAGATAACATGAGACTTCCTCTCATCCTTGCTGTACCCAGCTGTTTAAACTTGTCTCCTGAGTTGTGCATCCTACAAAAGGATGTTAAAAAGATCACTGGTTTTGTATTCACACTGATTTTCATAGATTTGATGAGATAAAATTGTTAGATTGCTTGGCTTTTATCAGACTTTCCAATTGATAACTTGAGAAATACAGTCCTGAATTGTTTGCCTTCCAGAGGTTACGAACTGAGAACAGGCTCCTAAAACAGCGAATTGAAACACTAGAAAAAGTAAGTATGTTGGTGATTACATTTAAGCTGTGTTAATTTATACTTAAATTGATGGCAACTTTGTTATATGACATAGTAAGCTATAATTCTGAGATTCCCATTTTTCCTGCTAATCTATGGTGTTTACTAACAGTGCTTAGCCAAATAGCATGGCAATAACAAAGCAGTTAGGGTCAGTGCTTGTAAATGTTTAAGGTTTTGTCTGGCTCTTAGAGAATATGAAATGAAAATTTTTGACATGCCCAACTTCTGTTGTACTGTTTTCTTTCTGAATTAGAAGCACCTGTTCAAAGTCCAGAAGACTACGTGAGATAGTGGACTGCTGGGGTGGAAAGGATTATTATGAGAGACTCCTCAGTTTTGAAAAGCTGAAGTTGCTGGGTGTTTTTACATAGAAGCAAAATGACAGACCTCCTAAAGACCAGAGAGAGATGGAGATGGCAGCAGGTTACTCCATGGCTATCAATTACAGCCGTGGAGGGGTGTTGTTGAAGTGTTCACATTCAGTACAGGAAGTCTGCTGCCATTAAACGGCTTTACATAGCTTTGGATTTTTGTAGCAATTTTGGGTACATGGAAGGGAAAATATCTTAAGATATGTCTCACCGATTTCATCTGGAACAGAGCTTTGTAACTGGGTATAACTTTAGAAGTATGCATGAGAACTCTTGTCAATATATTGCCAACACGTAGGCGTTGCTCTCCAGTGGCCTCTCCTATATTATGGTCTCATGTTTCCTGTGACAGATGGCATCTGAGCTGGTCTGCTCTAGGATGAGAACATTCTTGTTCATCTTACCCACTGAGAGCAACTATCTTTCAACAAATGAAACTGAATGCTCTTGAGTTCCAAACAGTTGTTCAGATTTCACAGGGAAGAAAATGGTGAAGATTCCATTTAGAGAGACATAATTGAAAGATGTCAATGCTAAATGCATTCAGGTTTCTTGGAAAAACAGTCTATGTCAAATTCTGATTCACTGATTTCTGAATTTAGTTTGGAAAAATGCACATAATGAGGACATACTGTGAAAGTTGTGACCAAAAAATACAATTTTATAAACATTTTATTTCTAATATTGAAGTGCTGATAAAACTGAAAAAAAGCAGACTCTTTAGGAAGTTTGAAGCTGTAGTGAATCTATTCAATGCTCTTGGCAGATTTATAATGCTAAATATCTTTGTTTTATACTTATCTGATTTCAGACCTCTACAAATTTTTCTTTTTTTTTTTTTTTTTTTTTTAATTGGGAAGTCTATGATGAGCTGCCAGATGCTAGTGCTTTTACAAATTCTATACTTAACTACAGAATTCATTTTCAGAGTATCTCATTTTGACTGGAATTAGAACACTTCAAAATGGGAAAATATTATCTGTTAGTACAAATTTCTGAGGATCATTATCATCACAGCATCTGAAAACATAAGCATAAACTGTGAACAAACACATGCAGTTCTGTTGGAAACTTATTTTAAAGTATTTTTTTCCTCACCCTAACATATATAATTAAGTGGTGATTTCCCTGGTGTACCTTAATGACAAACATCTTGCCTTAGCTTTTAAGTAATAACTCTTTATCAACCAGTTGGAACTTAATTTTTAATAAAAATTCCAAGGACAAAGATGTGCTGTGAATAGATGTGTCCTCTGTTGAATCTGTAAAAACTGAGTGCTTTCAAGGGTGATAGACTAGAAATTACACACACCCTTCCCGTTTCATATTTAATTAGTGTTTGTCAGTGTGCATAAATGAGAATTTCTTTCTTGCAAAACTTGAGCAATTCATAGGTTCTCTTTCCTTGCCAAATTGAGTTACTGCAAGATTTCATGAAACAAAGTATTAACTGTCATAGTTGAAATTTTCTACTTGTGTCTGTCAAGTTTGCACCATTTAACTTTCCTGCTTCATCTTTTTGGGACCTTAGTTCTGCATGAATGCCTCAGTGCTTAGTGGAGTTTCCTTTGTGCTCAAATTATGCCTTCCTTTCTTGTTGTGGATGGACCACAGACTGTATTTTGCATCTATCTAGTAGATCATATCAGATAATGTATCAGTAACTTTTTGTTAATTGGGGAAGCAAGCCATTCAGATCAAAATACCCAGCCTCTTGTAGGTAAATGTTAAGTGTTATGGAAATATGGCTTTAAGACCTTGTATGAAAGATGGACTGTGTTAAACATACTGCAGAGAAGGCTGCTTCCTGGGACTTTCAGGCTGAGTTGGCTTAATTTGTATGAAGAGTTGTTAATTTTTCAAAAAGAGTTTGTACAGAAAATTGGTAGAATTTGGGCGTTTTCTTTCTCCCAACTGTTGTCTTTTTTGTCACTGTTTTGTCACCCCTTTGTTTAGTTTTTTCTTTTCCTTATTCCTATCTGAATTTTTCCTTTGTAGGAAAGTGCTTCCTTGGCAGATAGATTGATACAGGTATAGTCTTTTAGTCTTTTAATGTATGGCTCCCTACTCTCCAGAAACCCCCAAACTGCTTTAATGCATGCATATTTGCATGCTGTACTCTATTCTTGCTTTGCTGATTTGAAATAAATATAGAGCTAATCTCTTACTAGAAACTTGTTTAATTTTGTTTACTAAAAATACATAAACCCAGTACCTGCACGTTATAATATTTTTCCTAACATAATTTTTTGGTACAAATTCCTGCGACAAATAGATTCTGTGATACTGTATTAACACTGAAATTGAATATCAGAAACTTAAATTTGTGCATGTGCAACTCAGTAATATTGCATGAAAGGAATTTTATTGAATGCAGGTACACAATTGTGCTTGCTATACAGATGATGAACTTTGTCATAAAGTACTAAAGCAGGTGCTTAGTACTACCTCATCCTAAAAATTTCTACCAATTGTAGTCCATGCTGTTTGCAAAACCAGTCTGATGAAGTAAGCAGCTAAGCATCGCAAAGGGAGTGGTTCTTGGATTTGTCCTCAATTGCTTTTTTTAAAAAAAAAAAATAAATTATGTCCTAAGGGACAAGTGACAAGGGCCCAGGAGGCTGAGGAAAACTACCTCATAAAACGGGAGCTGGCCACCATCAAACAGCAGAGTGATGAGGCCATTACTAAACTGGAGCAAGCTGAGAATACCATCAGGGAGCTCCAACAGCAGCAGCAATGGGTAAGGAGCCTGGCAGCACATCATCTCATTTTTTTCACTCACTTGTGTTTATTTTTCCTCATTATGACATGGTCTCTGTGCTGTCCTTGTAAATGCTTGTTTATTGTGATTTGCATTCTTAAAATTACTCAAATTGGACTAAGTGATATTTTGGTTTGTTCTTACTGATAGATGAGATTCATAACCCTGGATAGATGTAAGTTACTAGTTTAAAATAAACACCAAACCAAATGAAACACACCAAGTCAAAAACTCAACAGCAACCACCCAAAACCCCACAACCACCAAAGCAATACTAACAAAAAGCCACACACAAAACATTTGGTATTTCCTAATGCTAAGAATCTAGCCATTGCAAATTGTGTCACTCTGAATATTCAAATTTGAGAGTTGATACATGAGAAGCTCTGCAAAGGCATTATGAAAGTCAGTCTCTTCCACGTTGAATGTGTCTTATACATACTTTCTTTTTTTTTTTTTTTTTTTCAGTTAGCCTGCTTAAATTTGCTGCTTGGAAAAATAGAAGGGTATTATCCCTGAGTTTGAAACTACAGGACTTTATTAAAAGGTGTGGGTTTATGTGCAGATAGAGCAGGAAAATAACTTTTAGGAGCTCTTTGTAGTACTGTGCTTTTAGGTACTATATGCTTTAGGTAGTATAATGTGCAGGACTTCAGACTGTTACTGTGAGACTGAAATTATTTTCTCTAAGCCACTCAAAGTTCTCAGTATCTCCTGAGAGAGGGAGGGAAGCACCTTCCACAGTTGTCCCTTGCTGAATGAACTGTGCAGTAGCAGTGTTGGTGTGAATATGCTCATTGTTTTAAGGAAGCAGTATCCAAGTACTGGTCTGAAGCCCTGGGCATTTCAGGTGTACGTAATAAAGCTTTTCAGAACTACAGCATACTGCAGCTGCTTGCCAGACCCGTCACAGGCAATAGCGCAGTTTTACACCTCTTCCATCAAAGCTCTAGAAATACTTCTTTCTCATCTGGGAAGGTGGAGATGTGATTTTTCTGTTAGACTGTAGAAATCGTAATTTAAATGCAACATTATAGAAATAGTTTATTATGTCTGTTAATGTATTTCGGCGTATCAAAGGTACATCTTTTAGAATAGTTGCAAGGAGTTAATAATGAGATGTTACCCTATAATGCTGGTTTTTATTTAACTTTAGCAATTTCCTTAGGGAAAAAAACATGAAGAAATTATGGCTGGAAAGATGGGGGTGTTCTAGCAACACTTTCCAAAGTTTTAGATAGGTTATCTTTCAAGTGAAATAAAATTAGAAACGTTCATAGACTTGGGTAGCCAGCTGCTCACTGTCTGATTACAACAGTACACATGCTTTTGGAATGTATTTTTGGAGGCATCCATGTTTTCACTACCTGTACTCAAAAGTTATTAAAAGAGACTAAAATGCTGTATTTATCTATTAGTTAATTTATAGGTAATATGACTTCTAAAGCTAATGCTTTTAATTATGCTGGGGACCTTAATGATGGAGAAGTCTGGCAGGTTAGCTAGCAGGTTTGCTACAGCAAAACTGTAGATAACTGTGGATTGCAAAACTGGCTGGATTGGAGCTGTGAGGGCGGAAGATTGGACAGGTACTGCAGGAGTGGAGGAGAGTGAGTAAAATATGAGAATGGGCAGTTAAATTAAGAGCTGCACTTGCTAATCTGCATGCTTGCAGCCTTGCTTTCCTCCACTTAAATCTGAACATGACTATAGGAAATAGTCCGAATGTGTGTAGAACTGAGGCTGTAAATCCATGTGGTTCTAGAGGGATTTGTACTTAATAACTAGTTTTGAGGTGTAAGGAATAGTATTGTGGTTTTGATGACTGTGTGAATTAACTTGGACGACATGGTGAAAGCTTTAAAATGGTTTCAGTTAGTAGTTCCCTAGGGTTTTTTTGCTGCTTTTGTAAGTTTTGTAATTGAACAGGCTTTTAGCTTTGTTTCTATGTGTGGAAATAGGAGCAGCACAAGGTGAACAACTCCGTGTGCTGGGGGCACCACCCGGTGGAAATCCAGTTGTTTCTTTTGGGTTGCTGTGTCGCATGTTAGACTAGTGCAACCATAAATCTTTTTGCCACTTCCTAGTGCCAGTAGCCTTAGTCTTGACAATACTCTTGTATTGTCTGAGGTATATTTAATGTTTGTTTTTTTTTTTTCTTCAAATATTTCAGTTTTGTTTATGATTAGCAAAAATGACTGCACAGTGACCTTATAAGTGGCTGTATAGTTTATTTTTACTTATTTAAATGTATGGCATATATCCTATATATTTTATAATCTACATCTTTTCCAATCTTGAGTTGTCTGCTTCAGCATGATAGAAACTGAACTTTGGGCATGAATTTCTGAATAGGAATGTATTAAAAAAACTGCCTAAGGGTACTTGCAGCTGCCTCTTCTGAACAACACTATGGGATTTAAAACAAACAAAAAACCAGAACCCACAACCCACTTTTTAACTTGTGAATCATGAGGCAGGAGAAGTAAAGACTTCTGTTTTAGTAGCAAAAATATTATCTAAACAATAGTATTTCTAAGAAGTCTAACATACCCTGTGTAAAAAGGTTACCATCTTTGTATGTAAATATTACCTAGGGTTTATTCTATCTGTTCTATGATATTTGACAGTACAAGCTGGATGGCCAAGGTAAGTATTGAAAGTGCTTCTAGGATGTGTGTGTATGAAAATTCTCCACTGCAGCACTTCTTTGTAAGGCTGAATACAGAGATGGGTAGAAGAGTACTCTTTTGGTTGAAGTTCAACACTAGAAGCCCAAATTAAATGCAATTTCTATTTTTCCTGTGCTGAAGCAATTATAGGGAGTTTTTAGCTAAAGAAGAATGACTTCATTACAAATTATTGAGTCTACTTAGAGAGGTTCTTTTTAGCATTGTTTCTTAGTGAAAAGAAAGTAAGTTCTGCTGTAGTACTTCTAGATGACCTGAAAATAGTACTAAAGATCATATAATAAATCACATATTAAGTATCATCAAATGTGTTCTGTGTATCTTTGAATATATTTAAGTTGATTTGGGAGGGGAAGAGGGAGTGGAAAACAAGGTTTGAAATGGAGACTTCACACAATTTTATTTTGGATGCAAACTTTTACGTCTTAGAGTAACTCTGTCAATGTAATATTTTTAAAGACCGTGTATAACCTGTATTTTTTTATATATATATTGAGAACTAGGAAATATAATTGTCAAGCTAACAGCATTCTGAAGTGCTTTTGGAGTTTGGTGCTTTGGTTACCCTAAACATTCGCTTGAATGGTTTTGAAGAAAATGGTGCATTCTCTCTTTGGCATGTCTAATCTTTTATAGAAATTTGCCAAAGGCTTCTAGATCTGGTGGGTAACCAAAAGATTGAGGAAGGTGATTTCTTCCTCACACTGCTAGTAAATCAAGAACTGTGTAGCAGAAGTTGTAACTGACCTGAGCAGAATACAGAAGGTTTTCTTTTGAGGTGTGCTAAAAGCAGTGATACTTGAGGAGTTAGGATAGTCAGCCTGCTCTAACTTACTACTAATAAAGATGTGATGAAGTTTGGGGGTTATTTTCCTCTATTCTTTTTCTCCTATGGGTTATAAATGAAAAAAGGTAGCTTCTGCTGAATGTATAAAAATGAGTAAACTAATGATTTCTACTGGTTATGTACAAGTACACCTCCACAACACAAGTCTTAGTCTTTCCCAATGGTACTCTAATCTTCCAGAAACCTGGAGTCCATTTAAGTTGCTGTGTTTATCATCTGATGAACCCGTACAAGCAGGCAGGGAATAAGAAAGCTGTTGCCTATTCTCTGCGTCTGCCTGTGGTTACATATGCTGCTCATGCTCCTGTATTGTTTGGAACAATTGTAGCAGTGCATCAGCATTGGCCACTCAATGGTCAGTAGGGTTTTTTTCCCTTCCCCCTGAAGTTTGGTAGGGATGACCTTAAATTCTGAACTGCTGTTTTATTACTGAGGGAATGTGTTTGGGTATGCAAAGCTGGCTGGGGATAGTCTTGGATTAAGTCCTATATGGAAAGAACTCGATTTTCTTTTGTAGCTTGGGCCTCTATCTGTGTAGCAGGGGCTATACTGATACTTTTTGTCATAAATCTGCAGGACTTGCCCTAGGAAAGAATTTCAGAAGGAATAGCTATAGTGTGAGCAAACAAGACAAGGCTTGGCATGGAAGAAAGGGACAAACCAAAGTGATTGTGCATTGAAGCAGACATGGTTTTATTTTAAATCCAAAATTACGGATGGCTTCTGTTGAATCAGAGTTTGAGTAGGGATCAAGAGAGATGCTTGTATTGACCTTGTAATTAGCTAGTCTTCCATAAGCATCTTTTGAGCATATCATGAGAACAGTCAGTCCCTTTGAGAATTGTTCAGTTTGAGCAACAATGAGAGAAGTGTGAGTTGTTAATCAGTATTCACAGGGGCCTCAGTTCAGTCTTGCACCTTGGGCTGCATGGAGGTGCAGCTGAGAGGCACAGCATTGGGATTTTTACTGTTAGCAGCCTGGATGGACTTGTTAATAGACTTATGTAAGGTAAGCACTGCTGTTAATCTGAAGCTAGTATTCCTAATGTTAAACATTTAAATGTAGTTTTCACTCCAAATCTGGCATAGAAAAACCCTTTCAAACCATCTGTACTTCATACTAAACATATTTCTACAAACTTTGTAGCATAAATGCAGTTCACGATACAGTGAAGACTTTGTGCTACAGCTGGAAAAAGAGCTGGTCCAAGCCAGGCTGAGTGAAGCAGAATCCCATTGTGCCCTGAAGGAGATGCAAGATAAAGTTCTAGAGATGGAAAAGGTAAATCAAACCAGGACCCTCTGACTAAAAATGGCACTAGAAACAGAATACAGGTCCCTGTAATTCTTTGCTTAACTGTGCTCTAGAATCTTCTCTTCCATGCTTTCTTGATTACAAGATGCTTTTCAAACCTCAAGTTAATAGAGCAAAAAGCTAAAACCTGTTTCCACTGGGAAAAGTTTATGAAGAAGACATCACTTCTGTTTCTGAAGCTCACTGCAGTGGAACACTTGGATTCTGGTGGAGTCTTTACAGTAAACGTCAGTTACTTCTAAATTGTATCCTGGAACAAGAGCACCAGGCTTGTGGTGAGCACTGAGGTGATGTGAAACTCAGTTGTTTGGGAGAGGACAGAGTTCAACATCACCGTTCCTGGCTCTGGAATGCCTGAGTGTCTCATGCTTCCTCCCATTACAGGCAGGGAAAGAATGCCTCCACTGTTCAGTATCAAAGTCTCTACTGGTTTTTGGGTGCTATCTCAGCTTGTAACTTACCTTTCTTTGAAGAAAAACTGAACTGCAAAATAAATTGGGGGGGGGAAGAGGAGGGAAGAAAAATCCCACCAATTGACCTAACATAAAGTAAGCTTTTCAGATCCTGTTGTATTGGGTTTGCAAATAGTTTCCTCATGGAAATTTTAAAGACCTGTATACTAGGAATGTGTCCAGAACTTACTAGCTAATTTGATTAGCCCACTGGAGTAAGAATTTTACTTTAATTATCTGGGAGGCTTGATGGCAGTCTGACAGGCTTAGTAGTGTGGTAGTTTTTACTCTACTGAACATTGGTAAGAATTCAAAACTAAGGTGTATTTAAGAGTTCAAAAAGAGACCATTTCTTTACTTGTGACGTTCCATGAAGATACCATGAAGAAAACTTCTGTGTGAGGGGAGACTGGTGAGGAAATTCCATTGTACTAGACCAACTCAGATATACAGTAGTATTTCAGTCTGTCATTGTGAATTTAGGCACATGAGGAAGTGCCTGAGTTAACTTGCCGAAATTCCTACAACTGCAGTGCTTCACTGCTGTTAGTGATATCATGTAATGTAGGAAAATGCTCAGTAACCCAAGGCTTACGTGGCTATACTGATAGTGATGTAAACATTCAGAAACATACCCCATCACTTGCTATACTTGCTAATACTCAGATCCCATGATTTTGAAACAGAGATGCTAATAATTGGCTGTTGCGCTGTGTTCTCTTAATGTTAATAATGTACTTCACTCTCAAGAAAACTTGACAACTGTCGCGGTATTACACATCTACAAAAAAAATTTATGTTGCTGAAAGTTACTACTGAGAAATACAATAGAAAGTGATGAAGCACAGCTCAGCTTTGAGTATTTGGTCACCAGTGATTCGATGTAGAAATACTGTAGTTAGGCAAACTATATCCTTTTTCTTCCTCTATTTTTTCCCCAGACTGCCATTATTACACTTTCATCACTGTATTGCATCTCCCAGGTCTGCTTATGTTTTTCTCACTGCTGCCATGTATTTTTCTGTTTTCTGTTTAGTGTACTTTAGTCTCTCTAATTTTTCCTCATGTGTTGTTTAAACATCCATGCACTTTCATCTGTAAGACCTTTTTTGACTGTTGTTTATAAATATTAACAGATGATTGTTTTGTCAAAATAACTTCTCCTTTTCAAAGCCAGGTGACTCCATCTCCCTCTCCCAAAATAATTAATTTATTGTTTTTCCTGTAATTCTAAATGATTTATAATTCTAAAGGTGTAATTTATCACTTGTTTTAAACAAAACATCAGCTAGCTCCAAGTCTTTCAGACTTCTCTCTGTAGTTCTGATGTCTGCAAAAGACTGTGAATAATGCTTTGTTATGGATACCAGCAGGGAAATCTGGAAGTCAGAATGCTTAAAAATACCTTGTCAATTTTTTTTTCTGTAGTTGGCAATTGAAAGGTATTTATACACACTTGCTATATTCAAGAATTTAGATTTTTGAAGGATTTTATTTTGCAAGGGATGTGTAATTATGAAAGTTTTGTTAGTAGTGAGAGTTATCATTCCATGTCTAGGTTCTTGGAGTGGGTCTCACTACGCACAATTTTATTCAAATACTTACTTAAGAGAATGGTCCTTATTGCAGAGGAACAGCTCTCTCCCTGATGAGGAAAATGTTGCTAGACTACAAGAAGAACTGATTGCAGTAAAATTAAGAGAAGCAGAAGCACTGATGGGTCTCAAAGAACTAAGGCAGCAAGTCAAAGATTTGGAGGAACACTGGCAGGTATGTATGGCCATACTCTTTTAACAACTCTTCTTTTCAACAAATATATAATAAATAAATAAAGCAAAGGACAAAACTTTTGAGATGTAGAGATCATGTGGAAACTAGCAATTGTAGATGTAAGCCACTGAGATGAGAAAGTCTTTAAATGCAGCTGCCACAAGAACTTTACTTCAAAAGTATGTTATAAATTGGTCCCTAGTTGTTGTAGATGGCAGAGAGCCTATCCTACCAGCTAACCATTCTGGTAGAAAGGAAGCACCTGATCAGTACTCCTACTTCACTAATGTTATTAAAGACTTGAAATAAACCATAAGCTTCCATGAGTTTCTAGGTTTTAGGACCAACAGGAAGGAGCACTATAGCAACCTGTCCCTATGTAATTCAGACCTTAAATGAAATAAAGGAACACCAGGAGAGATCAGGCATTATCAGCAATGGCATCCTGTTTTTTTTAGCGTCATCTAGCTCGTACCACGGGAAGATGGAAAGATCCTCCCAGGAAAAACACAGTGAATGAGCTACAGGATGAGCTGATGACAGTCCGGTTGAGAGAAGCGGAAACTCAGGCTGAGCTGAAAGAGACCAAACAAAGAATGATGGAGATGGAAACACAGGTATGGTACTGAATGCTAGGACGGTGGCTTATTTCTGACAGAGGCACCACTTTTTCTATACTTAGTGAATAAAAGTTTCCTTTTGCGATAACTTTTAAAATTTTCATTGAAGTGTTAATATTATTTCACTACAGTTAACTTGTACTTTTGTTTCGTTGCTTTCTCCCCACCTGTGTATTTATTTTAGTCAGTAGGGGGCATAGGTGTCCCGCCGTCTGAATTACTTGTATTGAAGTCGCAAGACATTTGGGTACTTCTCACTTCGGTGTTTTGCATCGAGTCCATCTCTGTGCCTATGCAGTTGAGCTATCATTTGACAGAAGTGCATTACTTCTCCTGTTATGTACTGGTCTGTGCACAGCTTAACATGACAATTGTGTGACTTGGACTAATGCACTGACCTTAATTAAGGTGCCACGTTACTTTCAGGAAGTCACTGTACAAAGAAATGCACACACAGTATTTCTGACATACTTGATATTTCTTGGATACATCACCTTGTTGCTGTAGATGGGATACAATTTCACAATTTATTTTTTTTTCCTTACCTAAGCAAGAGTTGGGAAAAATAACGGTATGGCAGCTTTGTAATAATGTTTTTGCAATCAGTCATCTGTTGTTGAAGAACAATTGTAATATCCTGGTCGTAAAACAAATCTCATGCAGACTTTTCTGATTACATTTAGAAAATTTTCAATGCCTTTTCATCAGAAGTTTTCTTATAGTAAATGATCTGTAAATCTTTCCTGTTAGCCTTTGGTGAGTTAAATT